TATACGAAGTTTCTTCGTTTTCTAATATCGTACTGTAGTATTAATTAAAAATTATGTATTTGATTGGTTAATTATCACGGGAGATCACGGGTAGATCTACAAAATTAACCAATCATATAAATATCTTCCTATGAACTCACGAGTGACCCGTGGCGTGTACGCGTCTACTATCGGAAAGTTAAGACGGGTCCAAACACTACATGCACATTCATGAATAATAAAAATACTGAAATTCTAGTATATATGAGGCGTCGTCAATCAAAATATAGCATAGTAACATGTTACTCGTAACTAGTTATTTAGTATTGTCTTCAAATTCACAGTCATTGATTGATGGCACCCCATGCTACAATTAGACATGCTCTTATTTTTTATCACTTTTTGTATAATTTTTTTTAAAATTATTAATCTCACTATGCTACATTTTGATTGACGACGCCCATATAACAAATGTGAATAAACATTTTAATTTGGAAATATAAATGAGTCATTAATTATGTATTGACATAATTTGGCAGGTTAATGAATCAAGCGTAAACACATTTTGTCACTTATCATTTCATATAATATGCGGTAGATTTCTAAAACGTTGTTGGATAAAAAATGAAAATGCCATCTGCAATTTGCTATGAAATGCGTCTCCAGTATATATTGCTTATCGTTATGGAGAAAGTTGTTTTACAAATTTGATTTCAAGAAACTTTACGTAAAAATTATTGTGTTCAAAATCAAAATAATGTAATTATTTTACTGATGAACTTGAATCAGAAGAGAACATGCATTAGATTATATCAGTAAACACGGATTTAGATTATAACATATGTTAAGTATGAGTAGTGATATTAATAGATAAAATAAAGGGCTCTAGTTAGGAATGGAAAATGATTAAAACGTAATGTTAAAAATCAGGTTTGTTTGATTTAAAAATGTTTTTAAATGATTTAATACATTCTGACGTAATTATAATATACAATGGATAGTTTATTTAACTAATTTCGTCAAAATACAACTTTATAGTTATCTCTATAAACAATCATGCTTCGTGGGAGACTCCATTAAAAGAAATTCGCTTGAACTTTACAAAAGTTACGGAAATTGACAAACTTGGTCGAACTACGCCTCGCCAAATGCGTAACTGCTGTGGAGAGGGCTTTGTGGATTTAGTCACTCGATAAAGGGCACTTATATAAATGCAAAAAGCTTCCGTAAAGTTAAAAAATTTATTAAATAATGCTGATACTCAAGCTTCGGTTCGAATGAAGATAAATTAGCATTAACCAAATTAAATGATGATAATTAAATTTATAGTCATGCATTTAAAATAGAAAGAGCGTACAAAGTATATATATATATAGTATATACAAATATGTAGTTATATCAGAAATTAAGCAATTATACATTTCTTGAAATTATATAATAAACGAAAGTTTGTAAAGTGAATATCTTTTCTTTAAAAGCTATCTCTACGAAACTTGATGATTCTAACTAACCAATCAGAGTCGGCATTTTAGTCCTAACTGAATTTTAGTCTCAGCGCCAATGTTTTAAAATGTTTTTTAAAGTGGGTTAAAAAATCTAAAAAACTGCTTAAACCGTTTTTTTTTCATCCCTAGCTCTAGTAAAGGTAACAATAGCTAAAAAATAGAGAATTCGATTTCAAATACATTTACATAATGATAAGTTTCATCGATAATAAATATTACATCGATCTGATTATATTTCTCGTAATATGTGCAATTAAGTTAACGGCCGGTCTACGGGCACTAGAGTGCCAGGATTATGATCCAGCATAATATTCGCATAGCTCACCTTATGTATTGTGAATTGTTTTATATAATCATTATAATTGAAAAGTGAAATTCTATTTTGTATGATTTTGAAAAAATTAGTAGCAACGTAAACCACAGAATCACATGATGAGTTAAAATAACATAGAATTTTGCAATTGAAAAATAAAGTCTTAATAAAATTTAGTAAAAATTTGAAGACATTTTTCTGAACATCACATTTTCTGGGTGCACCGTATTGGAAGTATTACAAATCGTGATATAGATTATTATAATAGAAGCTACTCATATTTATAGGTGACTTACTAGAAAATAGTTTCCTTGATTTTCTCTATTACATTTATAATGCACTAATCCTTCACACGTGTATTTTGGCGAAAGTTCTTGCTTCGGCACACACTTTTTATGTCAAGAGTTCACGAACCTGAGAAGAATCAGACGAAAGTAGGTAAAATAATTGCCCACTTTCAAAGGCGCAAAATTCATAAGGAAATGTTTATTTTATACCGCTGGATTCGTTGAAACGTATATTTTGACTAGGGTTGTTAATGGAGTACTCCAGACATTATTAAAACACATAACCCACTTCTGGAGTACTCCGGAGTGGGTTATATGGTTTACTATTGACTGGAGTGCTCCATTAACAACCCTAATTTTGACTAAGGTTTTGATGAAATCATAAAATTTTGGATATCAAAAAACCTAATTGACATTGTAACACAACATCTATTTGCTTATGAAATCACCTTCTAAGCTCTAAAAAAATTCCTTGCAAAATTTTACTATATAATCCGCCTTTCCTAACCCTAAATATATCTTTATTCCCTTTATTTATGTGTTGTCTTCGATTGGTTTGATTTTTAGATATCAGACCGGATGGTTCGGAAATCACATGACCGACACTTCGTTTTCGTCATGGCTAGGGTTTTAGCGCAGTCACTTGTGACGTATCAAGGATAAATCGGCCATTCTTCCCCTTATAACGTGTTGTTTTTTATCCGCTACACCTGTGAACTATATATGACTTGCAACATTTGGACCCGCCCATTATCGTGCAGTTTCTATAAGATTCTTTGCACCTTCTTCTGGAAAGTTTAATACCCACAGAATAGATTTCCGTACCATATCTCAAAATTATCATGCTATATTGGTATTAATAGTTCGGCGGTAATTGATCATAAATTATACTATTTATGTTTTTTTTAAAACTTCTTTAATTCGTATGGTGCAATATAATATAAGTACGGATGACGTATGCATCATGCAAAATAACAAGTATGAATGACGAAATAAAAAGAAAGTGATTTATAACATAAATGGTGTAATAATACTCATGATCAATAGTGGCCGTGCTACCCAACGACGATCCTCTTCAAAAAACCATCTTACTATATGGGGGGTGCCAACAAGCAAATTGTTTTTAGTGAGTTTTTTTAAAATTTTAAATCAAAATATCCCAACTACTATTAAACTAAACTTGATAAAATTTTTTTTATTTTAATTCTATGATTGCATAAAATTAAAATAAAAAAATTTTTATCAAGTTTGGTTTAATAGTTGTTGAGATATTTTATTTCAAAGTTTTAAAAAAATTTACTTAGAGACAACTTGCTTGTTTTCTACTGGCATCCCCCATATGCTCTTATTTAATTTTCTGACTTCAGTAATGTAGTTTTTTTTTCTTATGTATGTGAACATGATTTAATATTTGAGAACACCTATAAGTATTATCCTGTTCTCATGAGAACAGTATTTGGATCTGAAATTTCAACGGGAAGTGAATTTTTGACAAGCAATCAATAGTTTATCAAGCGATAATCAAATTAAATCCTTTTTTTAAAATTTGTCTCAATTGATTTGAGGAACCTTAAGTTTGATTAAATAGAATTTTTACACATATTATTAGGACCGAAAGAGGGTGCTAGATCAAGCTGCACGTGAATTGGGCTATAATATAATTAAATAGTGCAACATATCCGTATAAATTTACATGGGCGTCTGAATTATTCGCAAGTAGTCTGTCAAAATTATATGAATTGAATCTTCGTGATTATTAAATTCCGGTAATCACTATTAGGGGAGTGTAACTTTGATAGCGATACTAGGAACAGGGACTCAAAAAATTTTCAAAAAGATTAGATTACAATTAATTACAATTTTTATTGGATATTACGATAATATAGTTATCGCTTCGAAATAAAATAGAATCATTAATAAAAATAAATATATGAAAATTAATTACTGTGTTAAATAGTTACCTATTTTCATAAAGGGTATATTTAGGAACAATTAATGATTCTTCCGAAACTTGACAAGCCTTTTGGTTCAATGTTACTTGCGAATTTTCTTCCGAAACTTGCGCCTTTTGGTTCAATGTTATTTGCGAATTTTCTTTTTGATTCGGGGCCTGAACCTGATTATCATATTAAAGTATTTTCTATTTGTATGGCGATACTGGGGTTCTGCTCGGAAATATATAAAACAAATAAAATAAAAAAATCAAATATTTTTAAACACAACATGTGCTCATTGCTTTTTTAATACATTAAGAATTAAGAATTTAAAAATATTCCGGTCGATTTTGAATATGGTGCAAATCATTCAGCAACATCAAATATATAACGAAAAATTACATTTTGTTTTTCTAAAGAAATGCAAAAGTTTTTTCCACCTATAATCTGCGAGATTTGATATAATATGTACGCTAATATTAATAACACGATAATTAAATAAAAATGAAATATGAAATTAGTGGTTCGAGATCTTCTGATTCGAAACTCAAACGATGGCTGTGAATCATTATTTGGTGCAAAGCATTAGATAATTATATATTACAGTACCTATTTGTTGCGACTTCCAATATTTGCATTGCATGATGAAGGGGACAATGACCCGATTCAAGTCTGAGAAAAATTCTGTTTTATCTGTTTGAATTTTGAAGATCTGGCTCTTCTGATTGCTTTTTCTGTGAAACTCGTTTTATTAGGTGCTATGATACCTAGACATAACACCTTCGAGCTCGCGTACAAATTTCGGCCCAATCGACCCAGGTCTTCCATAATTCTATAAGATTGTAAAATGACATAAGCTTGAATTTTTGACTTACATTATTTAATTTAAAAAATACAATATTTACCTTAACCAGGATCGTGAATTTCCTAAAGCCACCAAAATAATCTACTCCCCCGTCTCCTGGTTCTCGCCTATTAGATATAAAGAGTATATATAACTCATCATCCAATTCTTCGTGTGAAGCATTTTTAATATTAAATTTGGTCGAGTTTTTTTTGGTAAAATAACTTTCGATGGTTGACATTATTTTTTTTGTACGGGGGGTTTTTTTTTTTTTGAACTATAAAAAATAATTATTTATATAATTAAAATACTTAAAATGAGTATCTTGTATCATTGTTGCCAAGAATTATTACCCCGATACTGGCCTAAGATCCAAATGGTTGATCCGAAAGTGCACCTACGCGCACCTCACAAAAGATTTTGTGGCCTAAGATAACTGATCTGAAAGTGCATCTGCGTAAAGCAACCTCACAAAAAGCAACCTTAAAAAGATTTTAACATTAATATACTGCCTTATTGTCTTCTTTATCTTCGAAGTTTCTTGCTTTGTAGAACTGCATGGTCACGTAATAAAAAATAAACACGAAAATCAAAATCTAAATTTTTTTTATTTTATAGCATTGTGAAAATCTCCGAGTTACACATCATAAAAAAATTTTGAAATAACCCACCACATCGTCAATTGCAGAATTGGGCAACTCGTTGGGGAGTCAATAATAATCATACGCTCTATTCACCACAGGCCCCGATAACGTGCCGGTCAGCTTTTCGAAAACAGAGAAGAACGTTCACGGCATTTACAAACCGTGGCCATGATGAGTTTTCAATTCTTTGATTTACTTCTAGTGGCAGCATAACTTCAAGCATATAACAACTCAGCAATAAATCAGCGAAACTCATCTAGGTTGACGTAATTCTAAGCCTTCTTCTACGAAAATTACTCCCATTTCGTCTTCTAATTCTTTACCCTTGTCGTAAGAATTCATTATAGGTAAAAAAAAGCGAGGCGTATATAAAGTCGTGAATAATATATATAGTGTCTGCGTTTTGCAAAGTTAAATGTGTACGCGTCGCGTTAGATCCACATGTTTGACATTTTATATTTCTCGTGATTAATCGATCACATGAAATTGAATAACGCCTGATGATTGGTCATATCTGGTAACGTAACAATCGAATTACATTCATAAACCTATCGTTATAAAACAAAGAAAAATAAAAACATCAAAAGTCATGAAAATAACTACATTTAACTGGGGAAATTACCTTCTCTAATTATTTTTAGGGTTAGGGTAAGAGATTAGAGAGGATTTTTTTTTCATAATAATATAATATAAATTAGATATAAGGTCCCGATTTTAGTTCTCATGAGGTTTTCAGGGGCCCTGAATATTTTTACTTAGAATACCCAATCCCCGTTTACTTAGTACGTTTTTGAAGGACCCCAAATAATACATATAGAGGTTATATTGAAATTTTGGATACTTTTTTTACTAAAATGTTATATTTGAAAAGTGGCTGTTTGCCAAAATGTTATATTTAAAAGTGGATACGTAAAAGCTTTTAATGTTATGTTATTTAAAATGGATAAAATTAAATAAATTTTAGGTAGGTTATATTTGAAATTTGGATAACAAATAAAAAAAAAAAAAAGAGAATTTTTTTTTAAGAGAGAGAAAAAATTTTTTTAAGAAAAAAAAATATATAAGTTATATATATATATTTGTTATCTGTTAAACGGGTAAAATTACTTAAATACTAGGAAACGGGAACCATTAGGGTCCGGAGCCTATATAATTAAATAATTTATTCCCCAGTTCTTATTTATACTTCTGTAATATTCCTTCTCACTTATTGCCCAGATCTCAAATTCGGACTGATTCGGGAATTTTATAATATTTATCTTTTATTTTTTTTTAACAATATATGAAAATTTTAAACTATTAGAGTTACAAAGAGTAAAAAGTTGCTGGGCAAAAAAAAAAAAAAAAAAAAAAAAGCGAAAGAGGTTTTGTGATCTGTAGCAAGCTAGACTTTATGAAATGCGTAATTTTACTTTGAAAAAATAGTATAGAAGTATAATAGAACCTGGGAATAAATCAGCTATTATCCACGAATTGGACATAACCAAATATCAGATGATCGGATATTAATAATTGAACTTAGGTGCCGCACAAAAAATGCATGGCAGATCCTCGATTTTGATTGGCTAAAAAAAATTAAGCCGGAATTATTCATAATTTTACTAATGAAATCGCAGCCGCCCATTAAGTGAAAATTGTTCCTGGGTCAATTTTACCATAATGTGTGCTTATTTTTTAAAAATTTCTATTTTTGTAATGAAAAAATTA